AGCAAAAATCATACAATCATTATTAAAAAAATAGCAAAAATTATCTTATCCTCCAAGTCCAATTAATAAAGAAGATGTTTGGATAGGCAGTAAAAAATATTTATTGAAGTATTTTTTATTTTAAAATATATTAAATAAATAATTTTTTATTTTAATATCAACACATTTAAATAATAAAAATAATTAAAAATTAAAAAAATTTAAAAGTTTAAAAACCATTGTCGGGTAGCGCTCCCAGCCACCTCAAAATGCAGTTAAAACAAACAAGAAGGAAGGAAAAGAAAAGGTTTAAACCCGCACGCTCTGGAAAGTCGCGTGCAACGAACAACTATCCACCTCACAACAAACGATAAACCCACGAACACAGAGCATCAACACAGCAACCACAGCTTCGAACCTGCCTGCCTGCTTCTTTCGCCTCCCATCAGCTCCATCACTCCTGCAAACAGTTACAGAACAGATTTCTTTTTTAAAAAAAAAAATCCAAAAAGCTTGACTTTAGCAGCCATGGCAATGCTCTCCACCTCACTTTCAGGTCCAAAATCCGCCACTTCGTATTGCGCACCTGAGTTCTCTGGTCTTCGCCGTTTATGTCCAAACAGCAGCAGCAGCAACAACAGCAGCAACTCTCATTCCCAGTCTTTTCTTCGCTTCTGTTCTCCCCGAAAACCTCTTAAAAGCGTTGTTGCCATGGCTGGCACTGGAACGGTGCGTTTTTAACTTTTCTTTTTCCACATCTTGCTTCTTTACCCAATGCCCCTGTCTCCTCTAGATTTCGCTTCATTAACTATCAATAATATTTATAACCTTTACCTTATTTATTTATTTATTCCTTTTCATTTTTCGGTTGGCAGTAGGTGAGGTTACTGTAAATTCTTTTGCTATATTGTTCTGAGAATAATAAAATCGAAGGTTTTTTTTTATTATTATTAATGGAAATTTGACTGTTTAGCATAAAAAGAGTGCTGGTTCTCTCTATGAAACTCTTCACTTTTTTGTATACTTTCTTTTTTATGATCTTCCATATTTTTTTTTAGCATGATCGATTCTTCCACTTGATTATTGGTTAATTGATTTTCCTATTTCTAATGCTTGCAGTTCTTTGTTGGAGGAAATTGGAAATGTGTAAGTACTTTCCTTTTCTACTTTCTCACTGATTTCTTGTTGTTATCTCTTTTTTCTCAACTTTTACCATTAATTATTCTTATGGTCACTAATTAAATTGGAAATGCCCTTGATTATTAAAAAAGAAAAAAAGGGCACTGTTTAAATTCTTATGCCTTTGTTTGTAGTTTGGACATTGTTCTGCCAGTGTCTTTTATGCAATGAGATAAATAGGTACTGGATGACTTCTTAGATTTTTAATTTTTATTCTGATCCAGTTTTCGTCTATGTTTCTGTATTCAGAATGGAACAAAAGAATCCATTACCAAGCTTGTTTCAGACTTGAACAGCACGAAGCTGGAGTCTGATGTCGGTGAGTTAATATTTTCTTGTGTTTTAGGAATGTCTCTGCTGTTTGCTACCAAGTCGGGCATTCATTTCTTATTGTTGTTTAGACTAACTTGTACCGTCAATGGACTCACATTTCAAGTTGTACCGTAGTTTTCAAACTTATTTAGACATGGGGTTTTGATAGTGGTGAGTGTGCCCCTTTGTTCTTGGTAGGGAGGGGATCTCTATATCATGGAATCTATATAATCTTCTTTTATATATTTTTTTCAAGGCGAAAATTTAATCTAGCTGCTAAAAGGTTCTTAGGTTTTCATTTTTACTGTGAGTTGTGCAGATGTTGTTGTAGCACCTCCCTTTGTTTACATCGATCAGGTGAAGTCTTCCTTAACTGACAGAATTGAGATAGCAGCTCAAAACTCTTGGGTCAGTAAAGGTGGGGCTTTCACAGGAGAAATCAGGTTTGCTAGCCCCCTCCTCTCCCAATTATCACTATGTTTGAATGGGGTGGCAACTGGTACTCAATTTGTTTAAAACACCAATGAAACCAACTTTATCGTAGAAAAAACCTTTTTAGCGCTTTATGTTTTACAAATTAAATGCATCATGCATGGGTGATTAATTGCACTCTGCTCCATGATTTTTGGGCATGGTTGGACATCTCATCCAAAGAGAAATTCTTTTTGAGTCCATCATTCATTCATTCATTGTTTTAGGCTACATTCATCAAGTGCAAGTTAAATTTAGCTCACTCACATCCCTGAGGTTTTCTTAGCACAGTGCTAATACTGAATGGAGCAGGAATTATAAGCAATGGTTATTCTGTTCTATAGCTTAAACCTATATGAGGCTTCTATGCTATTGCTCTTCTCCCGGTGACTTCACAATGATTCTTTAATTTATTTGCAGTGTGGAACAATTGAAAGATATCGGCTGCAAGTGGGTTATTCTTGGGCATTCTGAGCGTAGGCATATAATTGGCGAAGATAATCAGGTGAAAATTTAAAGTACTTGGTTTTCCAGGGGCCGTAAGGGAATAATAATTCCTTTTGCTACAATGTGATATATGCAGAACCTCACAGAAATTTTGCTAACTTCAGTTTATAGGAAAGAAGGCAGCTTATGCCTTAAGCCAGGGTCTTGGGGTAATTGCTTGTATTGGTGAACTGCTAGAAGAAAGAGAAGCAGGGAAAACTTTTGATGTTTGTTATCAGCAACTAAAGGCATTTGCAGGTTATTGCTGATGTTTCTTTCTCTTGTAATATGAGATGTTAGATTAAAATGTTACTACTATGTCCTAACACCAGTAGTGTCATTATCTACCTGTAGATGCTGTGCCCAGCTGGGATAATATTGTTATTGCATATGAACCTGTGTGGGCTATTGGTACTGGTGTGGTGGCCACACCTGTGCAGGCTCAGGAAGTGCATGTAGCTATCCGTGATTGGCTTAAAAACAATGTCTCGGCAGAAGTTGCGTCAAAAACACGTATTATCTATGGAGGTACTTCACTTTGTCTATGTTGAAATTTTACCTGTCAGTTCTCTTGCTTAGATTATGGCAAAGAATGTATGAACTTGCAAATGAATAGGTATAAGGAGCTTTTCTTCTTCACCTTTTCCTGCTAGACTATGGCAAAAGGGGGCAGTATCATAACCTGCAGGGTTGGATTGGCTATGTTGGTTCTAATTGGAGGCTAATCCATACCAATATTCAGTTGTGAACCATTGTCATAAAGTCAAGTTAATGGTTTGGCTCACTGTTTGTCACCACTTATAAACTGTTACTTTGGTTTGAATGTATCAGTTCTTCTGATCTTCTCACAATAGCCTCCTTCTGTAGATCTTGTTCACTTGTGTTGCTCATAATCTAATTACAACTGAATTTCCTTTTCAGGATCTGTAAATGGAGGCAATTGTGCTGAACTTGCAAAGCAAGAAGATATTGATGGTTTCCTTGTTGGTGGTGCATCCTTGAAGGTATGCTTCTGCCATTAACCATTTGCTTCAAAATTTAATTATCAGAATGAAAAACCTGTCTTGCAGCCATTAAACTATTAAAGTACCTGGTATACTCTCCATCACATTGAATTTGGTAGGTATTTACAATGACACTGCGATTTTCCGTAATGCAGGGCCCCGAGTTTGCTACCATTGTCAATTCTGTAACATTCAAGAAAGTTGCTGCTTAATTCTATGAAGTTGAGTTGGTATTGGAAACATTAGCAAATAAAGGGCAAAAAGGAGCTGCTTCAGTTTGAAGCTTACTGTAATCAACCCATGAGTTAGTCTTATTAAATGGAGTTTTGATGATTTATCCATTTTTTTTTTCCGAATCCTAAAAAGAAACAAGCCCCTTCGCTTTAGCTTTCATTTGATAAGGCATAAAACATAAATCAGGTTGATGCTTGTGATCTCGATGAAGCCCACTTACCTTTTGGTACAACTTCTTCTTTTCGTGATTTCTTTTTGATGTGCAAAGTAGTCCTAGGAACTCAAATGCTGAATGCCGACCAGCATTTGCCATACGTGTCTGTCTTCGACTCAGCAGGTATAGAAAAGACAGATATGCGTCAGCATGTTCTTAACACTTGTTCGTTACCTAGAACATTTCCCCTGGCTGAACATTACCTGTATAACAAAAGGAATTGCTGAAATGGCCACAGCACTATGCAACGCTCGTGTTCCTTGTACTAAATGTATTAACTAGTAAGACCTTGAAAGAAGAAGAAATTGAAAAAGCAAACTGTTGGGCTGGCATTAAACCAGAATCCAGTACATGTGATTAATTTATATAATAAGCTTCGCTAATTTATATATTCTACGGTTCAAACCCAAGTTACGAATGTGAAAACTTGTTTCCTTGTTTAAATTATCGTTTATTGGGTTCAAACCCAAGTCATGAAAGTGCAGTTTTTTCCTTCGTGGAGGCATTAGTCTGGCAGAATAATATCAGGTGTACTCAAAAGAGTTTTTCACTTAATAATTTACTTCGGTTCTCAAAATTTTATTTTAGAAAAATTGATCATATTTTAAGGTTAATCGCTTCAGATTTTAGAAAAATAGTTTTTGTTTTTTTTTTTTCATTTATTAATATATACATATATATAATTATTTATTTATTTGATTACATGAGTCTTTTAATTTTTTTTAAAAACTTTTTAACTATAAAAACGTGTAGGAAAAATCAGTGCATATAATTGTTTTATTTGAAAAAAATATATAACCTGCACTTCGGGCAAGTAATTTAATCTGAAAATAAAGAGGATGCCGAGAAACTTTTATTATTTTGAAAAACTGTTCTTGTTTAATTTTTTTTTTTGAATTTTTCACTGGAAAAAATAAATATAAAAACGTCTTCTCCGTTTAAAACTATCTATGAACTATGAACTCCCGAGGGAGAAAATACATAAAAAAGGGCGAGCGCTGATAATTTTAGAAGAAAAATGTAGTTGAAAAAGAAAAATCAACATCAGCCTTTATTGGTGTGGTGACTACCTTGGAAGGCGGGACCAATGGAGGAATAAATATATTCAACATCAGCTCCTATGGTCATAGCATAATTATCCTGGCTGGTTACTTTTAGAATAAGAAAGTAGCTGAGCATGCACTGTCTTGCTAGCAAAGTCGTCAGGGAGAAGAGGTTCCTTCCCCTCCAGAACACAAACCAGGAATCTAGAAGAGGAGATTACACAGCCCATGGCAGGTCTCATCAAAGCTTTTGCTGCGACTCTTGTTTTGTGCCTAGTTACCAGAGGTAAGAAAGCTATCTTTATGTCCCAATAATCTATCTTTTCCTGCTCAAATACATGTTTCTCTTTCTTTTTTACTATCAATTTTTTTTTTTTTAAAGGAATACAACTCGGCTGTGTTATAAACACATGCTGTTCTTGGGTACATCTACGAGCTGATTTCATGATTTCTTGGAAAAGGGAGATGCCCTCTCGCTATACTGGTTTATTTTTATTTTTTTTTATTTTTTGGGTCAAGTGATAGAATTTAAATATAAGTTTTTTTTTTTGCCCTTTTTGGTATCGGTAATTGCTACCTTTCGTAGAGTGGATATAACAATTTGAAACTATGAAAATCAATCATGAACATTTTCCCTCGAGATCAAAGGTGAATATGCTTCAATGATTGGATTGTAAGCATGTCTAAGACCAATTAGATTTATTATGGATGTAAATAATTTATATGTGATCTCACTTTATAATTTAGTAAATATAGATTATAAGATATCGTTTGATTATTATTATCTTAAAAGATTTAGAAGGACCAAAATATTTATTTTATATTTTTATCTCCATCTATCCTTAATATATTTACCTCTCCCCTCCTGAAACACTAACAAAATACAATTATATTATAGTACTACAGTATCGTCGAGTAGTGTATCAAAAAATTAATATAATCCTGATTTCAGATTGAATAATCTTATTCAGGGTGTATTTGGAACCAAAACAGGGTTTGTCTAAAATTGGATTTTTTTTGTTTAAAATTATTTTTTTTAATGTTTAAAATTGTTTTGAAGTTATTATATGAAAAATAAATTTTAAAAAATATTATTTTAATTTATTTCTAACAAAAAAATAGCATGAAATACGACTTTAACCGCACTACTCATCAGTCACTTAGTACCAGAGTTTGTATTCCTTCTGTATCTAAAGCAATCTTATTATGGTGCTATATCTTCATCTCGTCCACAAAATCTAATCCTACAGAAGAATCTGAAAACCCATCTCACTTGTTGATTGATCAAATCAGGTGGGTCCATATAGATTATGATTGCACGAGTTTAGTAGGAGGGCTTCATTTTCTTGATACTGTCTTGCAAATTGGCATTGCTCTTCACTGGTGAGGTGGTTTGAAGAAAACATCTTAATTTTGGTTTCCAATGTTGCTGTAATGAAAATACAGGATTATGTGATTGCTCATTGAACAACATCAACATTGGGACAGTCCGAAGTGGGAAAGAAATAAGTGGTCAGGCAGAATGGAACGTGACTGTGGCAAACAACTGCCAATGTGCTCAAAGCCAAATACAGTTGTCTTGCATGGGGTTTCAAACAGTGGAAAATATTGACCCATCAATCCTTTCGAAGCAAGGTGATACCTGCCTACTCATCAATGGCAGTTCCCTGGAGGCATCAGCTTCTGTCAACTTCTCCTATGCTTGGGATCCTCCTTTTCTGTTGCTGCCACTGGGCTCTGTTATCCATGGCTGTTAACCTTGGAGTATCTTTTTCGCTTTCATTTTTTTATAACTGCACAATCTCCTCAATGAAAAAGGGATTTTAATGTGGTTATTATATATTTGATGTTCTTCATGTTGTGCATGACTGTTGCCTACAACATTTTCGAATTTCGACCTAGCCCAGAATGGTGGTCTGAAGTTTCTAGACAGGCCCAATAGCAATCACATTTTCTTCTTTAAGGTGGTTCAAAAACCTTTTTTTATCAAACACTTGAGTGCGCAGGACCAAAGAAGAAGTTCTTTGAGGATTCTACACTCAAAGCACAAAATTCCATAGCCAACTTTGATATTAAAGCAAACAAAGCCGGTCACCCCTTTGCATCAACAAGATTCTCTACTGAATTGCTTGAATTTAGAGATAAGAGAAGTAAAAAAAAAGAAAACGAAAAGAAGAGATGGAGTGGTTCTATCCTAAGAGAAGGGGTCCTGAGTGGAAACAAGGGTGGACAGGCCAGGCCATGGGTTCAGTGTCTTCTCCACCACTCCCATTGCTAGCTATTTTTGGCATTGTCATTTCCCTGTTATGGCTCTCCCATTACACGGGCTATAAGGCTCAGTTGCACCGCTCTGCAATCAACCTCCAAATATTCCTTGTCCTGCTGCCTATCCTCCTGATTTTATTCATGGCTTCATATTCTACTAATTGGTTGCTCTACTATCGGCTCAGAAGTTCACAGCATGATTCAGATCCACGTTCCTCAGGCTCCTTTCCTTGGGGTATTGCCATTTTTGTGGTGGTGCTTTTAATGTTGCTCTCTTATCGATCTACATTTCATTCCAAGTGGTTTGGACCTCTTCAGGGGTCATATTAATTTGTTTTATTAGTATAAATCAGCGAAAAGATAAGTACAAACTCTGCTTAATGTTTGTTAATTACAACGTTAAAGATATACGGATGTGCATATCTTAGCTTACAATCATTGAATCTTTTGAGTTTCTTTGTCAAGCAATCCTATCTTTTTTTTTGGCAACAAGCTTTGTATTATACGGTTTTTGCTTACTGTTGTGAGCAAAATGTTCAATGCATCTCTGAAGTCCAATTCAATCAAAATCAACAGTCTGGTCAGGATTACTGTTTGTTCCTCTGGTTTAAAAAGGGCGGCAGCAACTGGATCACCGGCATGCTCAACACTTGACTTCTCTGCCATGCCCACGACCGTTCATTGCAACATTTGGTCTGGACAAACACACGAAAACAAGTCTATGTCGGCGAGGCCAAGATGACTTCTGTAGCTTGGGGAAGGGTAAATCTGTAAGATTTGAATATGAAGAATCGACAGACAAACATCAATCATTATATTCAATTATGCTTTACGTGTGTTCCCATATGAAGGGGGGTTGGATGAATCAAAGTCCTTCCAAGTCCTAGCTTTCAGGCTTAGAATAAGAGAAGACGCCTTATGGCCATTCAATCAAAACTGATAAGGCCAAGAAATTGTCACCGCAGAGCTAGACCCCACAAACATGTTTGATGATTTTTTCTTGCAAAAGGCTTGATTAACATCGGACCAAGAAGGGAGTCGTAGGATTGGATGATTAAATAAACAATTGATGTTTGTCACAAATGAAGAACTGTTCTTCCACCACCCAATCACAACTACCAAAACTTATAAGAAAATAAATATGGTGTGCCTCTTCATCGATCAAACTTGCTTTTTTTTGTTTTTTTGTTTATACTTTAATAATTTATTGAGAGATAGCTGGGGTATAAATGTGTTTTGCACCAATCCTACCCCTGGTTTGTTATCTTAACATGTCCCAGAACTCCTTTGTGAATTGTCAATCTCCTTCTGCTAGTTGATCTTTTGAATATAATGGGGGGGGATTGATTCTCTTAAGACAAGACTATTGAGTTGATACATGAAGTCGGCCTATTGTAATCACACTATTACTGTCATTATAGTCAAATAGTGAGAGATATTAAACAAGTGTTGCTTTTAGCTAGCCATAAATAGTGAGAGACATTAAACTAGTGTTGCTTTTAGCTAGCCATTTGGGTAGAGACAGTGACATCTGCAAATGGATTGGATTCTCATAGAGTTCGTAACTTCTGGAACTCATCAATATTCAGTGGACACAGAATTACATTGATCTTGCCACCTTGCTTGGCAGATTACTTTATTATTTGTTCGATGAGGTGATGATTTCTGAGAACAAGACAAATTTACTTTATTATTTGTTCGATGAGGTGATGATTTCCGAGAACAAGACAAATTTGACTAATGCCCACTTCACTTTAGATTCAGGAGAGTGTCTTGAGAGAAAACTCGTCTTTTGTAAGATACTACTAGTCTTAATCAATCAAGCAAAGTTAATATCCGCATTAAAATAAACCGAGAAAACATAACTTATCTTCAAGGTTTCTGGTGAGGTAACTAGGAGAGAGTTTAAGCGAGAAAAGGCTCATTTCAAGTGAAGTTTACCTTTTGAGCGAGGACAAGTACAGTTCTATCACTTACTTCCCCAGCAAACTGAAACTCCACTTTCTCAGCATCCAAACAGAAATATTCTGTCGGCAGAGTGGCTTTAGATCATTTTAATCAAGATTCTAACTTGAGCTAAATAAAGAGCGTATACAAATTTGCCATAGCCCCAATAAGCTACTGAAGAAAAGACCAACTTCATTAACATCTGATCCACCAAAGAAAAATCCAACAAGACATGAATACTCAAACCATAATCACATATCTTAATGCACACACACATATATACATATAAACACAAAACACATACAGACATAACGGTTACATATGTTACTCTATTTCAAACTCTAAACTGTGTCTTTCAAACATAAACCAAGTTACCAAGCGATGGAACAAAACCATTCTTCAATCTACACTAACTAGCATAGCGTCAAAAAAGCCAGTTATCAAGAAAGGTAGATTGAAACCGCACCAAAACAAGAAGCAATACAATGAAAGCAGCCACACCCCATGGAGAGCTCCCTTCTGATGGCTGCTGCTGTGCTCTCCGGCTCCTGTCCCACGGTGTCATGAGCCAACGAACCATGGCTATCAGCACTAATGGTACAACCACGATGAGCCAACTCACTTCTTTCTCAGCAGTCTCCACAATGTCTTCATGGTGCAAGTACCAAGATATCCAGAAGAAGAACGATATCACTGCAAAGATGAAGAGAACTGGATATGGTAGAGGATTGAGAGTGAAAGCATCATGGATGATGTCACTTCTTCTCCTGTTGTCGTACATCGCTGCTCTCTTATCCTTGGTATGGAGATGCTCACAAAAGTTGTATTTATAGCAAAGAGACCATCTGATAGCTGTATCGGGACTTTCCGAGCCGCTGATGTGTGCTGATTTGATGGATTTGACAATTGGTTAAATGATCAATGGTGCTGATTTTAAATTTGTCTATCCAAACTTTATTTTAAAAAGTCTAGTGTGTGTTAATTTTGTTTTTATTTTTGTGTTTTTTTTGAAATATATATATATTTTTTAAGATTTTTGAATTACTTTAATATATTTTCAAAAAGATATTTTTTTAAAATTACCGCGTGTTCAACTCATGTCGGCAGTAGAAATATCATCGAAGCATGAAGCAGAATGCACCCTCTCTGAGAAATAACATTAAAGCCTATTAACAAATGACACGCTACTCATCCAATTGGCACGGTAATCAAACTAGAAAGCATTTAAGAAATTCACTATTTTTTTTTAATCGTCTTATGCTGCAAATCAGATTTATTTTTTTATAATTTAAAAAAAATATAAAACTTAGAAAGTAAAAAGCTAGAAGTACAATGGATGATTTTTAAATAAAATATTAAAATGATAATATATTAAATGATATTTTTTTAAAATAAATATTAAAATATTAATACATTAGATTGATTAAAATTAATTATATTTAACTTGTGAAATTCGAATGGAAATAAATTGGGAACTCAATTCAAATCAAATAAAAAAAATTAATTTAAAAAAAATAAAAAAATAGTTCAAACAAACCTAATATATAGTCAATGCTTGGATCAATATTTCTAAAGAAGGAAGAAAAATTCAAAGTTGGGATAATTAACTTAACTAAATTCATTGAATTGGGTTAATTAAATAATAAGATTAAAATAATAATAATGAATGATAAATAAAAAAATCTAAGATAAATTATGTTATTTGTAAAACTAATAAAACATAATTTCTTTTTTTAAAAATAATCTTTTACCTCAAGCTACATTCCAGGCTAAATATTTTTTTTTATAACCTTCAAAGAATATTAAAATAAATAAAAGGAGCAAGCAAGCACACCAGGTCTCAGAGCTTCATCTATCTCTCTGAACATCAATTGAAAAGCAAATTGGTCTTGTTAGGGCTGCATGAATCTACATTTTAAATTTGAAGTGGAACTGCATATATCAGAACAATGATAGCTATGCTTCAAAATTGCAAGGAACATTAAAATAAGCTCTGATGCCAGTTTTAAACGGGCCATTTCCTTAATACACCCAGATGTAAATGGATAAAAACTTGAAGCGATCTCTCTCTGCTTCCGCTGCTGTGGATAATAATAGCAACAAACAAATTAAAACACGGCTAATAAAGGCCAAACTGTATAATTTCTTGAATAACTGCAACACATAAACCAAAAACATACTAGATGTGAACTGAGAGTAAACTCGCAATAGATATTTAGAGGGTTGCTGGGAATGTAGTAGTTATTTGATTTTTAAAGTATTTTTTTATTCATAAATATATGTTCACTGCATCTTGCAAGCTCAAGATAACATCAAACACCTCCTCATGGATCCTCCGGGGGGGAACAAGCACATTTTACCCCCTCTTGAACTCCCCACGAAGAATAACCTTTTCTGACTGATAAATCAACACCCACCAACTCCAAGCAGCGAAGAAGACCACGCTCAGATTCTTGAAGTAAAGCAATGCACCGTTCCGACTCACTGGATTACAAAAATTATCAATATTATTACATATAACACTGTAACCAGTATTAATCTACATTCCCAGTATTAATCTCATAAACTATTGGGCAGCCTTCATGGACTCCAACCAGTGCTCTCTCTATATAGCTTGTATTGCAGACAAAAGATGCAACTCTGATGGTGTTCTTATCATACTTTTGAATGACATTCTTAACCTAGCTTTAAATTCATCTAAATGGTACGGATAAGAAAGAGATGCTGATCCTATATTACTGTGGAGTGTCTTAGTGCTTGATTCTTTATCGCGAGAAGCCAGAGTAGCTTCTTTCCCCTGTAAAGATACGCATTTTCCTAAGGCCTTCAAGAGTAACACTAGTAGCTTTGCATATGCATTTCTAGTCAAGGTAGGATTCGTTATGGGAAAATGATTCCCTAACTCTTGCAGATACTTCAGAACACCATCTAACCAAACAAAAGAGAATGGTTTTGGCACCTCAGTGCCATCTACTAACTTCAAGAGCAAGACTTGAGATATGCCAATAAAACTTGGCACCATGCTAGACAAAAAGAGAGTACACATAGTCTGTAAATTGAGCCTCAGAATAGCTGAAACAGCAATTAATAGCTGCCTGATGAGTACTGCCGCCTTAGGAAGATTACCTTTTAGAAAACATTGCAACCAATCCTTTTTTAATGGTTGACATTCATATGAGGCAAGCTTACATAGAACGCTGGCAATAGTAGAACTATTATCCGGCTGTGAACTATGTTTATCTACAGTAGCTTTCCGGGAGTCACCCGAACCCAGTATAATGCTGCTATCATTAGACTTTACAGAATTTCGAGCATCATATAAATGTTCAGGTTGGTGATCATCCTCAACAAGCAGTATGTGGAAGGCAAAACAAATAAAATCAGCGAACACATTTATTAACAATACTCTAAAATATACGTGGAAAGTACTATAATTTTTTTTTTGTATTTTTTTTCCATTCCTCACATGTTTTTTTCTATCAAAATTATTATTTTTTTATTATTTTTTTATTTTTTTCAGAATTTAACTATTAAACTGGTTGAGAATTTAACTTTATAGTTTTTTTCTTTGAAACATTGTCGATTATTATAGTATTTCTCTATATAGTTTTTGCTTTATTACAATATTTTTCTACATGTTTTTTTTCTAAAATTATTTTTGTTGAATTTATTTTTTTAATAATAAGATGATTAATAATTTAGTTTTGTGATTTTTTTCTTTAAATATTTTGGATTGCTATAGTGTTTCTCCACATGATTTTTATGTATTTTTATGATTTTCTCCAAAATTATCTTTGTCAAATTTATTTTTTTAATATTGAATTGGTTAAGAATTACAACTGTAATTTTTCTCATAAAATATTGTGAAATGCTATAATGTTTCTCTATATAGGTTTTTTTTATGATTTTTTTTCAAAACTATCTTTGTTGCTTCTATTTTTTTTAATATTAAATTGGTTAAGAATTTAACTTTGTATCTTTTTCTTTGAAACATTGTGAATTGCTATAGTCATTCCCCACATATTTTTTTTGTTATGAATTTTTTTAAAGTTATCTTTATTAATTTTATTTTTTAATATTGAGTTGCTTGAAAATTATAATTTTATATTCCCTCATAAAACACGGTAGATTACCACAATGTTTTTTATATGATTTTTTTTTATGTATTTTATCTAAATTTATTTTTATAGTTTTTTCTTAAAAAATTATAAATTGCAACAATTTTTTTCATATATATATTTTTTATTTTTTTTATAAGTTCACATAACAAAAACATACATGCTATAAGCCCACGTCAACACAGCATCCAGTACCATGACTAATTTTTGAGATGGGTTCAGATTTCCATGTCAGCAGCTTCACCTTATAATCACTATCTGTTGCATTTGTGTGGTCCAACGCAGATGCTAGGCCCCACATGAATCCACAAAAGCAAGAAACTATCGAAGATAAGTTGTTCCAATCAACAACATCAATTTCATTTCCCGCGTTCTTAAAAAGATCATCTTTCAAAGAAATAATCAAGTCTTGTGTCTATTCCTCCAAACTTTCAGCGATAATGATAACACTTTTCCAGCTTTCGAAGTCATTGGAGGTATCCAAACATGGATTAGACTTGTTCACACTGCTCTGTTCCTGAGCAACATCAGAATTGGGTAGCTCTGTGCAAGGTTTCTTAGCAATTATGGAGTCAACTGCACAAGTACATTGATATTTGCTCAGAGTTAGGAACACATATGATGGACATCGATTCGGAAAGCCATAATACAGAACGTACATCCTCAGACAGAATAGGAATGAGTGAGGATTGTGTAGTTCCAATTTTCTCCTCACAGCACGCCATAATTAAGTATTTCAGGGCCTTCCGGCAGGTCACCAGCAACCTTGAAAGCCCAGACTGTTCACGTGAGAAGAATGAGTCCCCGCATTCTAACAGGTGGCCAATCACAAACCTGAAATGTAGATATCACACAAAGGTAGAACTTAAGCATACGTTACATCATACCAAGTACATGTATCAACAGAAACTTCAAACTAATTACTGCAAGCACACATCATTGCATATAATCAAGGACACAGAGATGGTGCGTGTGTGTGTGTGTGGGGGGGGGGGGGGGGGTTGTTTCATCTTTGCATATATGTAGACAACAGATGGGTGAAACTTAAGCATATTTTGCATGATACAAAGTATATGTATCAACAGAAACTTCAAGCGAAAGTAAGACTAATTACTGCAAGTGCAAACCATTACATATACTTCCAAGGGCACGGAGAGGGGAATGGAGGGTTAGTGAGGGCCTGAGGTTTGCATTTCATTTTTGGATACATGCTGGCTTTACTCCAAACTAGTGGACATCACAATTTTAACATGTGCAACGTGCAGGACAATAACGAGAGAGTTTTTTATTCATCTACTGTGCTATCATGCGGAAAACCTACATAAACAATCTGCGTATGCTTGCTCGAATCAAACATAGATAGAAGACACGTTGAAGCATAGCGGTTTGGAAATGATGAGGGGCACAATTTTACCTTTCAGGATTGAGTGTGCAAGTGACATAAAGTGAGAATGATTTTGAATTAACATATCCTTTTGGCATCCAACACAAAAGCCTGGGCAAACTTTGACAGGCTGTAAATTTCATGATGGCCAATTCTCTGGAAATATCTGCAGGCATTTCAGACAATAAATGGGAAATCGGTTTCCCCACTGCAATCTCATCACATGTGGAGGATTTTCTGCCTGAAACAACATATGAGTTTTCAAGTGCACTTAAATCC